TTATTAGTTATGTATGTTATGTATATAGTTATCTACTCACAACGAAATAATATATATGCGCGACGATATGTCTATAATTATAGTACAATATTATATTATTATTTAATTTTATTATGCACAACAACTATATATATATATATATATATATATATAATATGTATGTGTTCTATTGTGTAAATGTGTTATGTGTATCTGTACTGGTATATATACATGTGTTTATGTATAAAATTACTATTGTGTATTTATATATATATATATATATATATACTGCCTTGTCATGAGACTATTGAACTGAAAAGTCATACAAAAGAATCCTATCGGAGAAGAATTTGTTTTGGGACTTTGAGAGTGTTACCGAGTACCGGACGTACATGTCGGTCAGTTGGTATTCTATCATGGATGTCATTTTATATATTATGAACCCGCAACGAGTACGGTACGAGCAAAGACTAAACGACATACGTCGACTGCTTTTCATCTAACAGAGACGGACATAAACCTGAGCGCAGAAGGACGTCTTTCTGTGACATTGAAGACGTGGTCGAGTACAAAACATACGAAGCAGCCCACAAATGCAATTCCGAGCCGTTTTTAAAAATAGAACGGCCTGATCCCATCACCGCCATGCGTGCCCAGGTAGGCTCCCTTGCATACTGTATATTCATGTCAGGTCTGTTGGTACATTACGTTGTATTTGCGCTACTTCAAACTTGCCCACGTATCTGGGTGGACCAATGTTACGTATAATCGCTATAAAGTGTATCGATATCCTGCCTACGTTAATCTGCGACATTCAATGCGTGTATGGTGAACCCTTCTGTTTGCGTTCTGTCAGTGGGTGTTGCTATTGGATTTTTATTCTATTTGAACTCAGCACTTGATATGTGGCTACCTGTGGGTGCAGCCTCGCGTGTCGTATATAACGATGAAAGTGCTTCGTTTTCGTTTAATATATATATATATATATATATATATATGGTGGTGTGTTTTTAGGGTACGTTTGTCTCGCATTTGAAATGATATGCTCTTCAAAGTGTGGTATCTGCTTCGTGAACGGTGCTCTGTGCGCATATGGCTGTTTCAAAACACTTGGGCCCTTAAAATCATGTGCATGCTTGTTCATCTATGCTCACTTGAGGCTACTATCCGCATCATATATTATGGTTACACAGCCGTTAAAATTTGGATCACACGGCCGTTTTGTACCGTTTTCGTATCCGAATTGGAGTGCACCTTGGATATAACTTTTCAATATTTTCGTCATCCTAGCTAATTATGATCCCTCCACTTCTTCAATATTAGGGTGTCCATCCCAATACCATCATGATGATGCAGATGGGTTTTTAGGAGCGCACTCGATACCGAGGAACCGAGAATCTTGGCTAAGGGGTTTAGGTATTGCGATACTATAATAACATCTGGCGACGTAGCTGGATGTGCGTAAACGTATATTCCTTTTTACACACGGCACGGTGGTGTTGTCACATATATGTACATAGTTATTCATTTGCACTGCTGTTGAAGTCGAGTGGCAGATAGGCTTGTAGCCACACGCACACACATACACACACACATATATATATATATATATATATATATATATACGTCCTATGCGCATGGTAAGTGCACTGTTGACACGGCACAAGATCAAGTAGTAGAATAAGCGAGTAGAGGTAGGGAGGTGGCGATGTACGAGCACAAACACAGAGTGTGGGGAAGGGGGAAGAGAGTTAGGCACAGAATATGTGAAGACATGCGTGCACCTGGGAGGGGCGGGCACTAACGTCAAGGAATGGAGTGGAGGAAGGAAGGTGGCGTCATACGAACAGAGACACAGAGTTTGGAAGGATTAGAGATAGGCACAGTATATATATATATATATATCGCAAACGGATATCTTCCGCTTAACTGCAGTGGAGCATGCGTATGTGATATAGTAAACACCCACACAACTATGTTACGGTAAACGTATACGGGTGTGGATCGACTGACACACACACACAGGGTTAGAAAGTGCCAGAGCGGAGACATTGCCGGTTGCTACTTGTTGCATTTCTAGCGCTCGCATGAGGAATGGTGTGCACCTCAATCTGTAATCAGCAGACGCTACAGGAGATGAGAAGAGTGTATGTGAACACTGGGATTCCAGGGTGTCTCCAAATTGCATCGTCCCGGTCTTTACGGATATGTGTCGGGAATAGTACCCCGAAGTCGTACATACGTAGTCAACGCCATCACCTCCTCAGGTGTGGCTGAGTCTGGTTGCTGGCACTATCGTTGCGTTCGGAACACAGAACAATGCTAGGCTTCCTCCACATCCACCACACATCACTGTGTATGGCCACACCCGTTGAGCGCGCTTACAAAGCTCTGGTTATTGCAGTCAGTCGGGGTCCCTCCTATCAACTGGGGCTGTGTGACTAGCAGACACTACGCCTATGACTGCCGAATCTTCGGCAGTTGACGATCTGAATGTGTTCGAGCCATCGGCAGAGGAAGGGTAGGTGTTTGCATTAGATACTGGACGTATGCTATGTGCCTGATGTTTCATGATACGTACACCTCACCGTATTACAAGTGCGGCGCTGCCCACCGTATCGACAGAACCACGCGTGTGGAGTGTCTGTGCAGGAAATGTGGGCCTAAACATGCAGTGGCCTGTTCTATTTAAGTACAGCAACAGACACACGCGACACCCGGTATTGACGCATTTGTATTTACCCTCAATGTGTACACACTAGTCACATAACACACACAACAACAGACACTCAAATTCTCGTACGATAGCACTATGCTGCTTTCAGGAATACACCCTCCCGTTCCCAAGTAATATACTTTCGGGCGCGTAACTGATCAGAAAGCGTACCCGTCGTCCATCCCCCACACACATGTCACTTTGACACTTGGTGTGTGTTTACACATTCCACACCCACACTTGCGCGCCAAGATATGATTAGTTATAATGTTATATGGAGAAGTAGTTTTTCGTTGAGAGTTTTTTTTAAAAAGATACATTCCGAAAGGATACAGTTGCAGATTAACATCACACCGTACCTAACATCCAGCTCGAAGTCAAATTGGTTAAGTCGGGTCACAGCTATCCTCAAGCCGACGTAACCCTAAAACCCTAAACTGTTCCTAAAATAGGGGTCTATTTTTTATGGAGAAGTTGAACGTAAACGCATTCAAGAATAAAATGAATACATATGGTAATTTAGAATGTAGTCGCACTTATAAGAAATAAACTTTAAAACGCTTTAACAAAACCGAACTCGTTTTTGTTTTTGATTATTGTATTGTAATATCGATATTTAATAGATCTATTTGAGATAAAAATTTAAAATACCCAAAATACAGACTACAATCTATTCATTATTTTTATTGACCCAGCCATGGCGCCACCTGATTGGCTGATTGACTGGACGATATATTTTATAAATAGTTTATTGCATATCAGTGTGGTTTTTACTATCTCATTTGGGAAATCTAATATTTGAATTGAAAAACTAGGTTTGCCAGTTATATACTTACTACGAGAAATCTGGTACGTACAGAGCTCGAAGAACTAGGTTTTCAAACTTGTACGCTCTGGCCTTAAAAAATACTTTACACCAATAAATTCGTCGTATTCCGATGTGTAAATATTTGGTGGTAAAGTAGCAATCGTCGTTCGCATCTGTCTGAATACATATACAATTATACATCAACATTGGGTATATTATAATATATGCGCGTGGCGACACATACTAACTAACATACTAGTTACATACAACTTCTTCCTAAACTATGCCAGTGTGTAGAAAGTAGTCGGGAGTATCTATAACTACATACACGAAATTATACTTCTTGAATCGGTAACGAGTTATACGGGTGTATACCATCATTTGTAAACTGTACATGTCACTCGTCAGTTGTGTGTGGTCCGTCCGATCTATTCGAAAACATAAACGAGAAAAAATAATTGGTTCAACACGCATACTCTCTTATTCGATAGCTACCACTCACAGGTTCAACCGTAATAGCTTTATCCAAATATATAGGTATATGGATAACCACCAGCTCATTAATCTCGAGAGGCTTTCACTGTACATTGCCGAATACTAAATCTATAGGCCGCACTACAGGAGGACAAATCCCACTCAATTTTTCGTAGCGAATATAGGTATATACACTTATAGATCTCAAACGCCGGTTTATACACACAGTAATCCCTGTAATACTTTAAGCAACTCGCCAAGTGCCATATACAAGGTCACATAATGGGGACGGTTGCTATGTGGTTGGGACGTGATAAAGATAGGCTCCTGTCATTAGTGACGTTGATAACAGTGTGCTATATCGCATACACATATGTATTTCAAGATCAACCGCTATCTCATATCGCACGCATAGACGCAGAGAGGCCAAATAACAGCCCAAAAGAAGGTCTCAGTTACCGTACTGATGCCGACAGTGGGAATGGCGGGGTAGAGCTGTTAAGCACGACTAAGCATGCATTGACTGCCGATGCTAAGCTGGCGAGTGAACGGTTATCTGAGGAGAGTAGGAGTCAGAGCGGAGGCAAGGACAGCCAAATCAAAGCCGTTGCGCATGCGGATGAAGAGGGGGAACCCGGAATGAACAGAAATCTCGGCAACGATGCCGAGTTAAATACACAGCAGAGCGCTATGGTTGTGGATCATACCAAGGATCCGGCGTATATCAAAGCACTGTTTGAGCCAACGGTAATTGCGCATGGCGAGCAATTAGACAAGGACTGTGCGACTGAGGTTGACTGGGGGTTGGTCGAGGATTCGCGGAAGCGGTTGCGGGAGTTGTGCGTACCCCGAAAAGGCGATACATATCTGGAGGATAAGGATATCATGGGCTCGATGGAGAAGTCACACATCCGGTGCACCAGCCCAGGCCAGGGGCATGCGTTAAAGCCACTGAGAATGTGTGAGATGCGCAATGTGGCGGTCGATTGGACCAAGATGGCTCGACCAATCAGGGCCAAGCCTGAGGAGCCTACGAAAGTCAATACGGACATCAGAGACCAGCACCTGCCCTTGGATTGGAAGACCTCTCCGGCGTTTACTATGAAGCCAGGTGTGCTGAGTGCCGACTGCGAGTTGGACACGGACCATGGCAACCAGACCCTGGGGTTACTGGTGGGGCTGGACAAGAATCAGGGCGGGAAGGCCGCGCAACTAATCAGAGCTACGTCCCTGAAGGGGAAGAACTTTGTCAAGGCAAACACGTACGAGCTGAGTATGGGTGATGTGTGCACAGAGATCAACACGGTGCCGCACACCCTGATGACTGTGGCGCGGCGGGATGACCACTGCCCGTTCTTTGCCTTCTCGGTGCTGTTGAACGCCTTCTGGACCACGCAGGTGTTTAACCTGGACGCTCGCGAGGTTCAGATTATGTTCCTGGACAGGGGCCACAATTCAGACCTTGAACTGCCCTTAAACGATATGTGGCAAGCGTTCTTCCCGAATCACGACATCTTATTCGACGGACGGCATGTGGAGGACAAAGAGAGGCCCGGTATTTCCTGTTACAAGCACCTGATCTCGCTCCCCTCAGAGTATGAGGGCCCCATTATGAATCACCTGTCCAACGGCCAGAAGTGCAAGGACAGTAACCTGGTCAAGGATTTCAGGACCGCCATGCTGAAGACCATGCAGATTAAAGACCCGAGGGAGACGACGGAGCGCAAGAAGCTGTCGTTCATTGTGCGCAGAGATGTGGTTGGCGACGAAAGTACCGGCAAAAGCGAGCGCAAGGTGTTTCGCAAGTTTGCCAACGAAGTAGCTGTGATAGCCGCACTAGAGCAGCATGCACAAAAGCATGCGTATGATTTGTCCGTAGTCGACCTGGCGGATATACCCCTGGCTGAGCAAGCACGCATGTTTCACGACGCAGATGTGGTGATAGCGTTCCACGGAGCCGGGCTGGTCCAAACCTTGTTTATGGGTGCAGGGCAGACCCTGATTGAGATTATGGAGCAGCCCAGACATAGGTATAGTTTCCAAGCGATATGTGGGTATGTCGGAGCGGGTTATCGTATACTGCGAACTTCGGGGGCAATTGATGTACAGGAATATACGGTTGACCCTGATATGCTCCTGGAGGAGATTGACAAGGTTATGTATCCGGTACCCAAAAAGTACAGGTTGCTGTAGATAGACCTAAATATATATAGATATATTTACATATGCACACTACGCTACAATAAATTAAAGTAAAATATACCGCTCCCTAATCTGGCTTCATTGTGATGGAAGGTATATGTGCATAAGTATACGGTCGACCCGGCTATGCTGCAGGAGGAGATTGAAAAGGTTATATGTCCGACACCCGAAAAGTACAGGTTGCTATAGATATTCATATATATACTTCTAT